CTGTAAATTAAAATTGACATGTCCATGTAAATTTTCAACTTTTCCAGTGATGGTGTCTCCGACACTATATCAAACTGATTTGAGAATCACCAATCCAACCACAGAGGACATAAATTTCCACCGTCACTAACGCTTCTTAAATCCAAACTCGAATCGAACGGCCCCCAGTGTTGACCGCAATCGCAAGTTTTCCGAGCGTATTTTTTCAACTCCTGCAATATTCAAGACAACATCCAAGCTTTTCGGCTCACAGGGCTGCTCTGATGACTTGATCATGACATTTCCAATATTTTCTTTAAGATTTGTAGATTTCGCAGTTCAATTCTGCCTTCGCTATAAGTTTTCATTCACGAGAAGCGACGCTCAAGTCAAGCTTGACAGTGGCGTGATTTTCCTGGACCAATCACAATTTGCTACGCATAGCACCCAATGAGATTGCCTCATTTTGTATAGACAACAGACTACGTCAAATTGCTATTTTCGTGTTTGCCAAAGTGGGCAAAGGCCGGCTTTTGAGTTATGTTGTAAGAATTTGAAATGAAAAAAAAGCTTTTTCTGTAGTAGTTTGTTTCTTTATTATATAAAACAAATAGATTCCATGTTGCCGTGTAGAAGACATTAAAAAATGGTAAGAACATCAATGACACACTCGGTTATCGCCTCGTGTGCTTTGTTCTTTCCACATTTTGAATGCATCTGTGATCTATTACTGAAAAGACGCACGGCAGCATGGAATCTGTTTGTTAAATGGACTCCTGCTTCAAGTCAATATCATAGTGATTCCGTGAATGTGAGAAGAAACTTTATTACCCCTTGAATAATAGGAGAATCTTTGTTTACAATATTTGCCTCATTACGATAAGCGATACAGTTTCTGATGGAGCTACAAAGAGATTAATACTGAATATTGAAAGGGCACAGCGCGATTAACTGTCCCAAGGAATTTGAGCGCGATGTATTGAATACTTTTTGNGAAAAATGTAAACAATGACGTCAGCAAAGATTCGCCTATTAGCAAGGGGTAATAAAACAATATAAACTAGTCAGATAACAAAAAATATATTTGACGATTTCTTCGATATTTAACAATAGGGAACTTAAGTCTGATAAAGGGTGACACAGGGGATTGACTCGCTGATCGAATAGAAACCTCGTGCCGTCGATCGAATTACTGAAAACCATTTGCAGAGATCCTGAAGGGGTTTTGGACAGGGAAGACGATTAAACTTACCACCGGTACCAGGTTGTGGCTAAGTATTGCACCATATCATTGAGTTGTTACACAAGCCTACGTTAAGGGATGTAAAAGTTTCGTTGTGTACGAATACACTTGAGAGTCAAAGGATATTTCTGATGTTTATCCACCGAAGAATATGCTAACACTCGCAACATTAAGAATGCGAAAGATTACTAATTACTGCTCAAGCAGAAATATCCTCTAAGGGCCACTATGATCAAATTCTCGATACCCATTTTGTTACATTTTCGTACACAATGGGTCTTTCCTAGATATCCTGGCAAATTTCAATTTATTACGAACATTAGAACTGATGTGTCTGACCTTTATTTCCGATAATTTACGGCGGCCATTAAGTTTCCTTGTTCCAAGTCTTGGTTGAGAATTAGAGAAAATGGCGTCATTTTCTAAAACATACCACACGGGTTGAAATTGAATAACAATTAGTACAGCAATTCGCACAAAGAATAACAAAAACTTTGGCTCATATCTTCGTGCAGTGTTCTACATTAATTGGTATTATAATTTAAACCCGTGCGGTATTTTTGAGAAAATGACATCATTGCCCAAATTCTCAACCACAACTTGGAACAAAGAAAATTAATGGCGGCCGTAAATTCTCGGAAATAAAGGTCCAGAAACCGCGAGTTCTAATGTTCGTAATAGATTGAAATTTGACAAGACATCTAGGAAAGACCTATTGTGTGAGAGAATTTCATCATAATAGCACTTAAAAACCGCCACTGAATGTTTTCCTTGATACATATTTGTAGCCATCTTTTGACAATTATCTCGGTAGAGTTTTCAAATCTGAGAGCTAAGCAGTTTCTTTTGATTAACTATTTTTACATGTAGGTCAATTAAAGCATTCTTCAGTATTCCAAGGTAAAATTCCTATAGACGGTTCATTCCTTTCGAGCCACCAGATCTAAAATACCCACCAAAATATTTATTCAAAATGGGTCACCAAAGATTGTACATACAATATGGTATCGAATACGAATACACCTACCTCAGACCATCATCTCAACTAAAAAGACGGAAAACTATGATTAGATGACCAGGTAGCCTATGGAGAATTTAAGTGTTCAGCAATTAAAGCACGTATCGTTGCGAAAAAGTCACGATGTTGGAGTTTCTGAATCGACGGAACTTCTGCACAACTAAGCAACTGTATTTGAATTATACATAATTAAATAGGGGGTTTCCCTCGTTCCACACGAGAGACCAACACACCTATATGGCTTGTGACCTCATAGTGTTAATCTGGTTTGTACACGTGATCTGTAAATCATTTCACGTGCTCAAAAATTAGTAGTGTAAGCTTATTCTCTTACACACATCGATGACTCATCATTTTAATAGAGAAAAACAACCTAATTATTATATAAGATTATTTTGTCAAATTAATGCTCTATTATTCATTGCGATTTCATGCTATTTGATAGAATATTTTATATGTAAGCTGGAGATCCTGACCAACCGTGGAAGCGGGGTGACGTTCAAGGTCCAAGTTATATAACAGTACATATTTTAAAATGGTTATAAATATCGGCCACGACAACTAATTTTAACAATTGATTAACCGCGAGAGCCGGAGACTCAAGATTTTGTGGAACTTGACAGCTTTTACTGTTGTAATGTTTTTACGTTTAATGTTTAGTTGTAGATCTCCCCACAGCCTCCACAGCTTTTAGCTTTTATTTTTATTGTTGATACAGCAGAGTTAAGAATAGGAGTGCAAATATCTAAAACAGCTCCCCCTCACAGTTGCTTTTTTTCGTTTGTATTAACTAATCTCTCTTTTACTATTGTTATTGTTATTTATTTTTCACACTACTTTGAGGTAGATGCGGCTGCATTGCAGTTTGTCGATCGATCCCTCAACGTTAGTTCACACTGTAAGGTCTAACAATTTGAATTTAACAATTTGAATTTGAAATTGAATTAAGGTGGCTTCTTAGAGTTAAGACTTATGTTTTGGTTGTCAATTTTTGGATTAAGGCCATTACCATGGCAACATCTCATCTAATGACAGGCAGATGTATTTCTGAATTTGACCTAAACTCCTTAATATTTATACTTTCCTTCGGTGAAATTTTTTCATAGTTCGCCACATCATGGAAATGATATTGCCTGACATTTTGAATTGGTAAAAATTCAAGGTTGTTCGGACGGTTTTTCCAATACTCTGTAATTTGTCATTATTCCTAATATAGTAGATTAGCTCTGACAGATTTTTAGCAAAAATAGGGTATTTTATAGGAATTGTATGTGGTTAGAACTGAACCAAATTAAAAAAAAAAAACGTGAGAAAATTAGCATATATTTGGTCACGTTGACGTCACAAAACTCAGAAAAACACGCGTGGTGTCACGCGTGGTTATTTACTTAAGCGCGCGCTCATGTGACGCCATGTATCGCG